AAACTTGTTTTTGTAAAAATAGAAAATAACAACTTATTATGTGTTGTTCTAATAAAAACTATTGTTTTTGATATGCATATTTAATTTTTAAAATTACAGTCATTCTTTGCTAAAATGTGTACCAGGAATACTGAAATTTTCAGATCAGTTACCAATTCCCTTTATAACTTATGTAGCCAAGTGTTCTATCAATTTCTGTTCAGATTAAACAAATGATGGGTAAAATATTAGTTTAGATTCTTTCAAAAAAAATGAGATTGCCTATTTTAAAAGCATAAAAAGCAATAAAATAAAGCAAAAGCACTTATTTTTAATTTAAAACCTTTGGACTGCATAGCTTAATGTTTTCCACTAAGTATTACAAAGTTTTTATTCATTGAAATGTTGTTTTATCAGCTTTAAAACCAGATAAATCCACGAAGCACTCCTATAAATATGTCGCCATATTGATTTTTTCGCGCATGCTCCGTACAAAATGCCCAGCTGTTGACTCGAAGCATATCTACACAGATACGGACCTCACCATTTGGCTTGGGCACTACAACCAAGAGGGACACCCATGGCTTTGGGAAATTTAGCAGAATTTTTTGTAGAAATGTCTTCAGACTGATGGAAACCGAGTTGGCAACATGCAGAAGGTCTAGTTCTGTAGCAGATTTATGACCCAAAAGGCAACCGTTCCTCGGTTGTTGATTACTACAAACTGGGCAAGAATTTGCTTCCATTGCGTTCAACTTTGACAGTTATTGTCCCCAAGATGTTCAATGGAATTGTTGAACCATATGTAAAAAACCGAATGTTAGAGGGCATAAATTCAACTTCTCTAAGTGTACCTAACTTATAATATGTGTCATTATTCGCAATGTTTACGGCTGCACCAGAATCAATAACGACAGGCACTGACAACCCATCAAAATTAATGTTAGTAGTAGGTAAATTTGGAAATTGTTGTACACGAAAAATGCATTCATCATCATCTGAATAGGAAGTAACATTGTTTTGTTCACTCACCTGGAGAGCCTGATTTTGAGGTGGTGATGTATAGTTGGCTGGCTTTTGGCCGACTCCGACATACCGAGGCAAAATGAGCGACTTTGTTACAACTTCTACATGTTTTTCCATTTACAGGGCATCGAACATCTCTTGCAAGGTGGCCTGTGTTGCCCCATCAATAACAAGGCTGGGAACGCCATCTTGTAAACTCTTCTTTTGATTGATTGTATAGTGACGAATTACTAGCCCCTCGACTAGCTCCAGTATTAATGTGGCTTGGAGTTTCACGGCGAGAAACACCGGAGTTCTCTGTGTTGTACCTAGGGCGAATGGCATTGATGGAATCGCTGGGTTGCGTAAAGGGCTGTTCCATTTCTTGAGCTTGAAAATGAGACTGTTCCAATGCGCGGGAAGTTGTCAATAGCTTGGAGAGGTCGATGTCAGGTTCGCGAAGTAAACGACGGCGAAGTTCTTTTGAAACACATTTATCAATTGCTTGATCACGAATAGCTTCGTCTGTTTGTTCACCAAAAACACATGTTTTGCTCAAAATACGTAATTGAGTGAGAAATACGTCCATTGATTCGTCGAGCTGTTGGGAAGCTTGCCAAAAAAACATGGCGCTCATATGGAATATTTCTATTCGGGTGAAAATACTCGTTAAATTTCTCGAGGGCAGTCATATAATCATCGCCAGTGTTAGGCAGGGATTCGACGATTTCTCGTACATCAGAGCCAGCAAAGTGTAGTAAAACAGCACGTTTTTGTTTCTGATCAGTTACTCCAGACGCACAGAGATAATAATCGAGCGACTTTGTCCACTTTCCCCATCGTTGAGCAAGGGTTCTGTGATCCGATACAGAGAATGGTGGTACAGCAGGTGAATCTAAAACTTTTGCCATGAAATTCTTTTATCCTCGTCGCCAGTTATAGTGTATAAAACACGCACAATATCGTATATATATGCTCACTCTAAACAACGTGCAAACTAGAACTACCCAGTACCCATAATATCCCCCAAGCATCATTAATGTCCTTAGCGTTCCTGTCGTTACTACTTACGTCACAGGACACTATAATCGTCTCTCACTGTATAGTTTAAACAATTGCGTAGGTAATTTGCAACTCCTCCACCATGCCAATTTCTATCCTTTCTTACAATATCGTATCCATTAATTTTAATTTCATGGTTTGAAATAGAGGAGTCGAGCATGGTTTCATTTAAGCTAATTATATCGAAATATTGCTCTTGAAGATATATTCTTAGTTCTTCTATATGCTTATATAAACTTCTTACATTTAAATGCGTAACTTTGAATCCCCTTGATTTTGGAAAAGCTTGTTTTGGGATTTTATCGCATAGTTTATCAGAATTAAAATTAGTTAAATCTCTCTCGACCACAGCTGAATATCAATTTACAGTTTGATTTAAGAAACGTTTGAAGTTACCAGCTAGCATTGCTATTCTTCGCTGGTTGAGGTGAAGACCATACATATTAAGATGTACTTTGTTAATATTATTATGTTGTATAAGTCCCCAATTGCGTTCTAGGGAAAGATTTTCTAATTTCTCATTATACATGTTTACCTTGTCGGCCAACATGCTATTACTTTCTTGAATAGACTCACCAAGTTTTTGTATCGCTGAGATCAACACAGACATCACTTCAGGAGATTTACTTCGAAGATCATTTGTTCCAATGTGCAATATAATATGATCAGGTTGCTTTTCGGTTGTTGGTTTCACGTAGTGGAGCATATCATCGATGCTAGCTCCAGGGAAGGTCTTGATAATAGCTTTGCCGTTTATCCCTTGTTGCAATTTCCTAGGATATAGATGCTTCAAGATTGAATCACCAACGATGACTGTATTAGTAGGGTGTTTTGATTTTGATTCATCGAGATTGATTTTGTCTGGATAAGTCCTTCGTTGTTGTTTACCTGATTCTGTTTGAACTGCTTTAGTGTTTGCACTGCTGGTGTGGCTCCGATCGATTTTTTTCTTTCTTGACTGACTAGCGTCACCGCTCATCACTGCATTCAATGCGAGAAACACCCTGTGCTCTGCGTGTGGGAACCCTTCAGCAGGATATACCAAGTGCATTATTAAACTTGACGTAGTTAACATGTTATTCCAAGATATCACTTGGCAGCACACAATGCTCCGCACTGTCCTCTCCGGAATTAACGTGGCTGGTGAAAAACTCAGAAATATGATCTGTCTAGTTAATGTTTTGGCCTTAAATACAGCGGTGTGAGTATAACTTTGTTACAAGTTACTAGTTACATGTAGTCGCCAGCTACATTTGTGAGTGACAGTAACAGTAACAGTAACAGTAATTAGTTTGCTACATTTTGGCCACGGGCTGAGCCGTTACTTTTGACGATAACAAACGTCCAAAAAAGTTGATTTATCTCCAATTTTGGCCACGCCCGGTTGTCGCTCAATTTTGTACCGTGTACGGGTTCGGATATTTTTCATTACGGCGTTGCAGTGCTAGAATATGGCGAAAGCTTACTGTGCCAAATTTTCCTTGAATTTAGACTGAATACTGGCACATTAACAGAAATATTGGACAAGATGGCGAAGGACATGCGCACTTTCATCAAATATGGCGGCCAAATATTACTATAAACTATATGGGAGTTGATCAAAATGTCAAATTTTAATATACTATGTTTAAATATTTCATAGTTGGCGAGCTCGATTATAGTAGCGACACGAACAAGCAATATTTCTAAACAAAAATCGCTAGTATTGCACGCATCTAGCTGGTTCCTGAGAATGTTGTATTTTTACTCGCAATTCGATGAATTTCATAGTGTAATTTACAGTAAACTTGTGACACAAGAGGTAAATATCCTATGAATAGACCAACATCCATTCGGGCGATGCAAAGTGCCGAGCTCGCGATATATTTTATGATGTCCAAACTGTTAATTTAGCTAAATAAATTGCTGTAATTTCCAGGGAAACTAGTTACCGAAACGTTTAAAAGTTCGCCTTTTTACGGTTCTTGTATGTCGCCATTAGGCCATCTTAATATCCAAAAACGACAAGTTTTAATACAAATTTGAGCTATTTCGAGAAGCCATGTTTCTTGTCTATTTTGAAAGACCAGATCCAGGCTCTCTCACGTAAAAACACAGCGATATTTTAGGATTTTTTAGGATATTTGCCATATTTTTAGTCTTGATAAAAATTTGCGAGTTAAAGGTCAAAATACCGGTAATGCTCAGCAAAAACTGCAAAATATAGTTTAAAATCACAGTTTTTGGTTGAATAATACTTGAATTGGAGATTCAAAGTAAAGTGCGAAGTTGTTTTACTTATGTTAGGCAATGTTAGGCATATAAAATCGACTTAGCCGCTGACAACTAAAGCGGGAGGAAAATGTCCCATATTTCTGGTAATGAACTACCTAGAAGTGCAACATGTGACAAACTCAATCCATAAATCGTAACCTGACTCCTGGTAGTCATTATAGGAGGTACAACTAGCTGAAAGTATAAGCAAAACATCTACGTAGGGACGTTAGAGTAACGCCCAAGGGCACAACGAAGGGCATTCGCTTAAATGTTGAAGTCATATAGTCTGCTTCTATTAATTTTTTAGGTTGCTGTTTGTTCGCATCGCTACGCACGCTAGCACAGACCGTTGGCGATAAACTAAGAGAGTCGCAAAGAAATCCTGCATGTAAGCCAGGCCGAAAGAAAAAATCTTGCACAACCTTGCGCCCTTCACAAAAAATTGTGCAACCCGCCATCCTTCAAAAAATGTAATTGTCCGTCCCTAATCACCTCTTTGATGATGTGACTATAACTGCAACTGTAACTATACGTAGTTACAAAACTCATGTAACTTTTACAGCACTATTTAAAGAAGATGTCCACTCCTGTCCGCATGCTCGAACTTTGTCTTCGTTTTGAACAGCTATGTTTGTAAAATATGATATACTAATTGAATATCTAGCACTTATCTGGTTCGCTATGCTTGTAAATGAAAATAAACTCAACGTTTCAATTAAAAAAGTTCGAAAAATGCAAAATTTGGGCAATGTTTATAGATGGGGTCCCGCTATTTTATGAGCAGAACTGATACGCAAACGGAATGGAAATTATCTTTAAATATGATGATACCTTGCTGTAGGGAAAGATTGAATTCAATAGGGAGTGGCTAATTAATTCAATAGAGTGAATGATTCAATCGTTTCATTAAACATTTTTTGTTTACAATCCACTTTTCTCTACGCTTCAAAGCCCTCTCTACTTGATTATTTAATACACTTATGAGATATACAGCATTGAAATACTCAAACCTGAATGGGTGCATTCATTCTCTAAGGATGATAAGGGGGAGGGGGGTGCGAATAAGGGTTTACAAATCCGCCGATCCACCCAAATTTGAAGCAAAATCCGCGAACCCACAATGGTCTTGTCTAAATTTCATTCCCCTAAAAGCTCTACAATGAAGTCACAATCCAGCATCCGAACTGAATTGCAAGACAAATCCACAATCCGAGCCAAAATATTAGATAAATCGGCAATCCGCTGTATTAATAAGATCCGCAAACACGTGTAAAATATTCGCTGTATTAATAAGATCCGAAATCCGAACAATTTTTTCTGTAAAAGCCGACGATTCACGCAATATCCACTTCTGGATAGCGCTCTGGATCAGCGGTGTGTTTATTAAAATGTCAGCGGTTTTCACAATTATTTCCATTATAGTCTAGCGCAATTTTCCGGCAGCCATTGATTTTGGCATTGAAAAGTAAATGAAGACAACGGCGTAGAACCACACTTGTATGATCTATTTTCTTATCGATTCAAACAACAAAAAAGCAAATACTTACTGTTGTGGTTAGCACTGAGTGTCGACGTTCAATATTCTAAGCCGTTTCAACGTGTTTAGGATTTATTTTATATGTCGATCTCATCGTTCATTCATTGTCAATTGTGATTTGTGAGATCGTATATTAAAGGATATGTTTTCAACTTCGAGCAGCTACGACGCAGTAGGAGAAGGAAGAACACACAATGATTATGAATGTGATGTTTTCAAGAACCGATTTTCAACATCAAACAAGTTAGCAAGACACAATAGGACACACACTGGAGAGAAATAGTCTGCATGTGATGTTTGTAAGAAGAGATTTTCTCAGTCGCGCAGTTTAGCAACACATAAACGAACACACACTGGAGACAAACCTTATGAATGTGATGTTTGCAATAAGAAATTTTCTCAATCAAATGATTTGTTAAAACATAAAAGAACACACACTGGAGAGAAACCTTATGAATGTGATGTTTGTAAGAAGGGATTTTCTCTGTCGAACAGTTTAGCAAGACATAAACGAACACACACTGGAGACAAACCTTATGAATGTGATGTTTGCAAAAAGAAATTCTCTCGGTCAAGCAATTTTGTAAGACATAAAAGAACACACATGGGAGATAATCCTTATGAATGTGATGTTTGTAAGAAGGGATTTTCCCAGTCAAGCAGTTTAGCAAGACATAAACGAACACACACTGGAGACAAACCTTATGAATGTGATGTTTGCAAGAAGAAATTCTCTGAGTCAAGTAATTTAGTAAGGCATAAAAGAACACACACTGGAGATAAACTTTATGGATGTGATGTTTGTAAAAAGAAATTTTCTCGGGGACATAGTCTACAATTGCACAAAAAATCACATTTATTATGTACCACTTGTCATAGAGAAATTACTCAGCCACAAGATATACAAGAACATGTTTTCAAGGATGAAGTCACTGGACAACATGTTTGTATGAAATGCAACATGCATTTTTCCAATTTTACAAAATTAGTGCAACATATAGCACGGCAATATGGCAATAGTATAAATTTTCAATGTGGTTTATGCCAGGAATTGGAGTCAATGGAACCAACCGGTGTTGGATATATTTGTACCATGTGTGACATTGAATTTGATATTCCAAGGAAACTTGAAGATCATATGAACACACATGGATTGATGAAAGGTGACTAAATTGTAATGTTTAAACATTTTCAGTTCTTTGTTGTTAAATTTATTCCTAACTCTAAGTTTATATTAGGGGTGCACCAGATTTAAATTTCTACCAAATTTGACGAATTTTCCAAATCCGGTGTCCGGCTGCATTTTTCTCTCAATCCGGGCAAATTTGCCGTATTTAATGTTCACTAAGTCGATTTGTGTGGTAATTTGAGTGCAGACGTTATCAAAAATCAAAACTGACATAAAATACAAAATTGCACGAAAAAAATCCATTCATTTAGACAGTAGAGGGCGTGTGGTCCCTCTTTTCTGCTGATTTAATTTCCCGGGTGCACAAGGCGAAAGGAGAGACTGCCGACAACACATGAAGAAACGAAATACGCCCGCTTTATATCCAATCAAATCAATCGAATAATAACCGTTCATTTAAGCCTGTCATGTTTAGTTATAAAATCAACATTCAGTCTGGAAATTATTTATGGCATAATTACTACATCTCAGATTTGACTGACAGGCACATTGATTTCGACCAACGGGAATTTTTCGTTGTGTGGGCGACACATATTTTGTTTCTTGATGTGTTTCGGCAGTCCCTCCTTTCTCCTGAGGGACTGCGCACGGTCGATTTAACAGTTAAAGCAATTCAAACTGTTTTTCCATATTCAAATTGTTTATTTTCCATTTGCTTTTGAAACCGTAAGCCCGCCATTTTGAGAAACGAAATTATCTCAATTTGTCTCCAATTATCATAATTTATTCTCTATCCGGCAAATCCGTTGCCAGCCGGATTGGAAATTTCCAAATCCCGTGCATCCCTATTTTATATTGATGTTATTGTTCAGAACTACATGGGAATAACATAGCCGAAAATCTCTTTGAAGTGGGAATTTAGCCAGGCGTCCAGCTAGCCGCCTTATGGATAGCTACTTTTGAATTTAGAGAGTCAATTCTGAATAGACTGAGACGGCCGTGGATCGCTTAAGCCATGTGTTTTTAAAGAGCAACTTGGAGGTTTCGTAATATCTTTTTCAAAATCTATGAAAGTTGTCAGCAGCTAATCACTTGATCTATTGCATACGTTTTGTCGAAAAGACACTGAAGGATGAGTATATGACAAAATTGGGTTGCCACACTGCACGTTTTGGATGGCCATGTTGTCACCCTAGCCCGCTTTGAAGCAGAGTATATATCATGGTGCAGAACTGCATGCAGGAATTGGCCGCAGCGTCAAATTTTATCTAAATTTCCATTTATTTGCCGCCATACATCCCTCTTTTTCTCAGAGTTCTTCACAGTTGTAGTTCATTGTTGATCATCTACCACTATAGCTATATGTTGGTATTTAAGAAAACAGAATTTGAATGATAAGACAAATTGTTGATTAACCAACAAGTTATATGACTGTCGCTGTCAGCCCTTTCTACTTACAATAAAGTTTGGTGATAATAGTTCTGCCTTCTTCGTTCTCTCCTTGGATTGTGATTGCTGTTATCTGCATTGTCTCCATTATCACGTTGTTCTTCATATTCATCACTAGCCTCGTACCAAGGCGCAAATAACGTACCAAAAATAGCAACACTACAGTGCATAATATAGATCAGTGGCTGAGCGAGCGCGCGGGGGTGCTTGGGGAAGACACAGGAAAAGAAGCGCCTGGCAGAATATGCAACAAACATGGCGGGCATGAGGATGCAAATGAGGAAATTGCTGTACTATACTAAATGAAATTGAAAGGCTTGCCCAACGAGCGGTACATTTGGGAAGATTTTATGTCCAAATGATCACTGTGTTGATAATAAGAATTTTTCCTCGAAAACGGTTTATAAATTATTTACCATTTTAGTTGGTGACTTACCTCAGGTCTCAGGAGACCTCTCGAAATTAGAAAGTCTGCTGGCTGCTGGTCATTAGAGAACTCAAGTTCATTGAACGTTTTAAAAAAATAACGATTTAT